CCCCAATTGTCGTCCTGCGCGGTGATAGCGGTCACGCGGCATTCTTTTACGACGCCGAGGAGCGTCGCGAGCAGCACGTCGCCTTCCGCCACGTCGCGCCACTTCCGCGTGCGTTCGTCCGCCGGCGGGCGCCTTCTATGCTTGAATTGCTTCGGCGTAATGGCGGGTTGCGTCGCCATAGTGTGTCGCTAACTCGGCTTAGCGAGAGCTAGAAACGCCTATGAACGCCTATGAACGCCTATAAACGCCTATAAACGCTTAGGACGGCTTAGATATATCTACTGAGATATATCTAGCAGCACTTAGGACACGACGCAAGCATGGGCGAGACATGTTCGTAGACGGCGGCAGCAGCGACGAAGACGGCGCGTCCGAGGGCAGCGAAGGCTCCGCTGCTGCGGCGGTCGACGATTGGTTCGATGGTTCGAGCGAAAGCGACGGCGATAGCAGCGCCAGTGAACGCGGGAGCGAGAGCGACAGGTCCGCGGGCGTGAACGACGACGACGAAGACAGCGCAAGCCAAAGTAGCTCATCTTCAGGGCAGCCCGCAGCCGCGCTGAAGGAAGAATCGAATGCCTGGGCAGTCGCGCTAGCCAGCGAACTTCCTGGGCAGCAGCACGGATCGGCGAAGCGCCGCTGCCTCGTTCCCCGGAACCTGTCTAAAGGGTTCTGGGACGTGATCGACGTGCTGGATGCAGGAGGCTCTGATGAGCTTAACAAACAACTTAAAGAGCTGTACGCACGCGGCAAAAAGCTGCAAGGCCAAGCGTGGGACAGCAACGATGCCGACGATCGGATGGCACATGAGGTCTACGCACACGTAAAAGAGGCAAACTTAAACATGCCTGTCCTTGGAATGGAAGTGCTTGAGAATGTGCGACTGCTGCGCAAGCACACTGGCCTACATGACTGCGAAATATCGCGCCTTGCGAATGTCGCCGCGTACCTCGTGGACGACGCCATGCTAAATCGGGCAGACGGCACGATTGGAAATTTAATAGAACTAACTGGGCTCTCGTCAACAATGCTAAGAAACGGAGCTGACAGGAGAGAAGCATTCTTCGAGCAACCGCCAAACAACACTGAGACGCCTCACAGAGGCAGGGTCCGCATTCCGGTACACGACCTTCTACTTGCGTGGGAGGAGATGCACTTGTGTGAATTGCTGGAACTAGACAAGGACTATCAAGCAAGCTTCACCAAGAAGCAGTTTAAGACTGATGGGAAAAATCTGGTTTGCATTAAGTGCCAGAAGAAGGTTCTGATGGGCACCAAGGGCGACGTGGTCAAGTGGTACCAAGACCGACACCCGAACTCGCTCATCTCTACTGCAACGCTCAGGAAGCTCGTGTGCCCATGCATGCGCCCCAG